GATGAATGTAAAGGTCATCGGAAATATAGACGATTAGATTTGAATAAAACTATTTTTCTTTCGATTATTGATGGAAACGAGGCGAATATCTCACCTAATATTCGTTTCAAATGTGTATTAACAAGCTCGGAAACTCATTCGGTAAATTAGTGGGTTTTTCCCCTGTTTTTATTAACTTCTCGCATTTGATGATTCTATCCCACCCTCCCCAAGGTAAACGATTCACTTCATTTACACTTGGCAAATAACTGTCGGGAAAAAAAAAATAAAAAAATACTCAATTCGCAATCAATATGTTTGAATCATCAAAACTAGGGATCGACGTTACGCAAATAATTAAAGCTTTACTTATAGATACCAGCAATCAATTTATTTGCTATCTCACTTGTTCAGTATTGTCTGTTCTCTTCATATCTCATTACCATTCGATCTATTTTACAGGATCTCAGTGTGTTTTTTAATAAATATATCAGATTTATTTCACTGCTTTCTGCCGAGGCGATGGCAAGAAAGAATTTTTTCTTCCATGATATTTCGCCAAATAAAGAATTATATACATAAATCAGTTTAACATTCCTTATTCTGGTAAAGATGCAATTCAGTTGGAATTAGTTTGGTTGGACTAATATTAACAATTGGTATGAAAGCAAACCAAGATGGGTTTTACTTCATATCATACAGTCGTTAAAAATGTCTGAAATAAAATAAAAAGAAGCCCTGCTCATACTGAAAAATCCCATTTTCAGTGCAAGTGAAAAGCCTTGTGTCAATATTACGATGTATTTTATCCATTTTCATGGTAAGCATTCATCTGAAATAAAATATATATAAGAACATTACAAAATTATGTACTACAAATTTATGGAGAAAATCTTTAGAAATATCTCTCCCTCATATATATATATATATATATATATATATATATATATATATATATATTAAAGACATTTTAAAGACATTTTTATGTTTTTTTTAGATTTTAGATGTTTGTTTATATTAAACAGTAAAATAACATTTACCGGCCTGAATGTTATTTAATACTGTTTATTATAAACAGAGCATTTACTTAAATACTTGTATCTATAAAAAGAACGTTAAACATAAAAATGTCTTTTAATAAATAAATTGTCGGACTTTGTCCATTTCTTAATATATGACGTCATTTGTTTACATTTGATACGCCAGAGCAGTTATGAATGTACGAGATTCATGGAAGATTGAAGTTTATAAGCAGTAAATTGACCTTGCCTACCGAACGCTCCTTTGTGGCCGAGTCGGTTAAGGCACGTCAGCGTAAATAACGGTTCCGTATAGGATGCAGGTTCGAATCCTGTCAAAGGACGAATATTTTCTATGAAAATTTCTCGGACATTCAGGCCGGTAAATGTTATTTAATACTGTTTATTATAAACAGAGCACTTACTTAAATGCTTGTATCTATAAAAAAAGAACGTTAAACATAAAAATGTCTTTAATAAATAAATTGTCGGACTTTGTCCATTTCTTTATATATATATAATTATTTATTTAAAAATATGATTCCAACACGCTACATAAGAGTTCTCATGTTTTAAAACAAGAGCCGAAAACTTCGATATAATTATTTGAATTAAATTGAATTAAAGTACTAAGCTCTGTTCCATCTTCAAGTGAAATTTTTTTTTCTAGAAAAAAATTTCGTGTAGCGTGTTGGAATCATATTTTGAAATAAATAATTATATTTATGCTCTACTTTTGTGTCGAGCACTATTTTTAAAAATAATAAATAAAAAATACTAAAGAACTTTGGATTATTTACCTAATGAGTTCTTTTCCTATTTTCTATATATTTTTCACACACACACACACATATATATATATATATTTCGATCGATAATGAAATAGATGGTGATCTATATAAGAATAGATACATAGATACATATAAAGATATATATATATATATATATATATATATATATATATATATATATATATATATATATATTTCAGAATATTACTACAGTATTCGTAGTTGATTCTGTTAAGTGACGGCTTAAATTTTTTAATGTATATTGCTTCGGGAATCAGTAGGTTGAATTTGTAGTTTTCTTGGTCTAGTATAGTTGTGTTGTCCAAAAGTATTTTTTTTGAAATGTCGATAAAAAGAATAGTTTTTTACGCTTTAATGCGCATGACATTAAAATACAGTAGAAGAAAAGAAATCTCTCGTGAATATTTTTTCTCGTTCTAATGAACGCGAAGCAGGATTGTCAACCGTTGCATTTGAATTTGTATATGTGTGTGTATGTGTCTAAGATAATGAACAAATAGGGAACGTTTATCAATTCAACATGTTTCACTTTTATTAAAGCTTCGTTAGAGACTGATTTCAATTTTGTGATGTTTGATATATTACATGCATTGTAACTGTAAATCATTCTATACATGTGTAAATATGTAAGAAATCTATTTATCTATGCGGACACCAGACGACAACGGGTATTCGTAATTGTGTGTGTGTGTATGTGTGTGTGCATGTCTAAGTGGAGATATTCTGATGTTTTCCCTTTTGTGTTATCTGATTAACATTGGTCAGTCGTGTATTACTTCGTAAATGCGAATGTGCGTGGGTGTCCAGCAGACATGATGTCTATTGGTTTTATCGTGTGTTTATATGGGAACGTTTTTTATGTCCATACTGTATATTTTACAAAGCCATATGTTAGATTCTTTAAGAACGGATTCAATGCAGGTTGGCGATATAATATAATATTTTGACATGTCTAATAATGTTATTATTAAGTTTTCAATGTACGCACAAAGTATACAGCTTAACCCCAACACGCAGACGCAACATGCACACCAAACCCATAGTACCCGGAATGAACAGCAAAAAATTAAGCAAAAATCCTTACTACGTTCATTGGCACCATCAAACCAATACATATTAAACACTCTGGTGACTTTATCTAGAGAACACGAAACATAAATATAGAAATCAAGGTTGTAACCATCTTAGATATCAAATCACTATACGCAAGCATAACCATCACAAAATGCCTCAATATATTAAGAAACCCCCTTAAAAAATCCAAAGAATATCTCCATCTCCCTGGCCACAAACTTATAAAACTATGTAAATTAAACATAAATCATTGCTTTTTCTCTCCCTCACTAATAATCTCTACAAATAACCCTGTGGCTTACCTATGAGGTCAGCTATCAGTAGGGCTCTTGTTAGCCATTTTTAAGATTATTTAAACACATCATATTAGATCCATTTAGACACATCATATCTAAAATCTCTACTTACCTAAGATACTAAGATAATAACTTTCTTTTATTATATATTAAATACATATTATATATTATTATACAAATCAATTAAAAACAATAATGAAACTCAATAATGTTGAACCTACTGAATTCACACATGAATTTGAAATTAGTCTTTTCTCGGCAAGAAATTAGACCTAAAAGTTTAACGTAACCCAATAACAAAAATGATCTTATTAATTTCTATTCCCACGACAATCAAAGAAAAAATCAGCATTAGTCATAAGATTTTATCGCGTAACTCTTAGGATATGGAACCATGAATACCTAAAGGAAGAAGAGAAATATATTGAGAAAAAATATAGACTTCTTCACTACCACCCCAACACATATATATATATGTATCTGTTCGTATATTAAAATATTCGTGAATATGAAAGGATTCTGATAAAAATAAGCAGACATATTTTTGTAATTTATTCAGTAAGACATGCCTAAAAGAGAATTTGCTGCCTAAATAAACACACACACAAACACACACAAACACACACCCAC